TGGAATAGGTTGCTGACTGCGCTGGAACTGGAGGTCGACCTTCCACGAGCGTACGAACCCATCTGGGTGTGGAGACACAACCTCAGTGCGGTCCGCATCTCGCCACTGCCCGCACCACGCCCGCCCTACTGGGGACTCTGCTCCTGGACCACCTGGCCGCCACGCGTTGCAGAAGAAACGGCGCCCATGACCCAGCGCAAGGCCGCTTGGTACGACAAACCGTCGCCGACCTTCGTGGATGCCATCGCCCTGGCGCGTCGCCACCTGTGGCTGGCGTCGGAAGGTTTCTCACTGTCGGTCGCTGACCCCGACATTCAGGAACTCCCGGTCGCGCTGTACCATCGACTTGTAGATTCCCTTGCCTACGCCGCTTGAATTGCGTAAAGCCTAGCCAAGGATAGTAATGAGCCCCGACGATCAGGTCGTCGTCGGCTGCCGAGTTGGCGAAAACGCGCTGGAAGGGAGGCCGCTCGGTGGGCGTGACCGTAGGCACTGGGGACGGCGTCGGAAAAGAGGCACTTTGCATGACCACGGGGGTAGGCGTCGCTGAACGCACTGGAGTCGATGCGTGTCCCAACGAGGCTGCAGGTGATCCGGATGGGATGGGAAGCGACCGCGTTGGACTGTTGGGTTGGTTTGAGGTTGTTTCAGCCATCACCGCAGTTTGCGCCGGGGGTGTTAGAGTCGGTGGGACGTTGGTTTCGACCGCTGATGTCTTTTGGCGGGCAGTCTCCACAGATGGTCTGGTGGGCAAAACGGTCACGGTGGGCTGGCCTGGAAAGTCGCTCCGGGAAGTATTGCAAGCTACGGCCGGCAATGCCGGAGCCGTCAACGCCAACAGAAGAATCCAGGACATAATCAAAGTTCGAGGTATTGACATGCAGTGGACTCGCGGCGGGTTCCAGATGGATCAGTGAGTACTATACGCTACGCCCCGGGGCTGATGCGCAGCAACGGCGACCAGACGCGAGGTCTGCGCCTCCTCCCACGACCTCGTGCGCAACCCAGGACAACATCATTGAGTTTGGCGGGAAACGGAGCCATGCCGACGGGTTCTGCAGTCGGATTAGGGTAAAATGTCCGTGTTCACGGGACGCCCAGGGGAACAAGAACAGAAGGCGGGACATCCGATGTTGAATGGCAACGGAACCGAACCAACGGCGCCGCCCAGCGTCTACAACGATGGCGGCGTGACCATTGTCGGGATGATTGGCGTGGTGCGAGAGGCCGAAGCCAACCGGGGCGCTACGCTGAGCCTCTTCGGGGGTGGCATTAATCCGGGCGCGGAGGTGCCGGCCGGCGTTGATCCGGACTACATCCTGGATTTTGCCCGCACCCACGAGGCCGCCGGCTTCGACCTGGTGCTGACCGGATACTCGTCGTCCACTCCGGACGGGTTTGAGGTGGCTGGCTACGCCGCCGCACACACCACCCGGCTGGGCTACCTGATTGCCCACCGGCCCGGATTCGTCGCGCCGACCCTGGCCGCCCGCAAGGCCGCCACGCTGGATCAGCTGACCAACGGCCGCGTCGCCTTGCACATCATCACCGGCGGCAACGACCTGGAGCAGCGGCAGGATGGGGACTGGCTGGACCATGATGCCCGTTACCGGCGCACCGACGAATACCTTGATGTGATGCGCCGCAGCTGGACCGAAACCGCACCCTTCGACCACGTCGGCGAGTTTTACCAGCTGGAGAATGCTTACAGCCAGGCCCGGTGCCGTCAGTACCCGCACCTGCCGCTGTTCTTCGGCGGAGCATCGGAGATGGCGCTGAACGTGGCCAGCCGCCGCGCCGACCTCTTCGCGCTGTGGGGCGAGCCGCGGGCGTCCATCGCCGAACGCATCGCCGACGTGCGCGGTCGCGTAGCCGCCGCCGGTCGCGACCCGGCCGAGATGCGGTTCAGCCTGTCCGCCCGCCCGATCCTGGCCGCTACCGAGGCCAAGGCGTGGAAACGGGCCGAGGCCATCCTGGACCGGGTGAAGGAAGCCACCGCTGGTCGCATCACCCCGGGCGTGCCGACACGCCCGCAGTCCGAGGGAGCCTGGCGTCTGCTGCGGTTCGCGGCGCAGGGCCACGTTCACGACGAACGGCTCTGGATGCCCATTGCCGCGGCCAGCGGAGCATCGGGCAGCACGACCTGCCTGGTGGGAACGCCGCAGCAGGTGGCCGATTCGCTATTGGCCTACTACGACCTGGGCTGCTCGGCGTTCATCATTCGCGGGTTCGACCCGCTGGCCGACGCCGCCGAGTACGGGCAGGAACTGATACCGCTGGTGCGGGAAGGTGTGGCCCAGCGCCGGGGTTCCGGTGTGGGGAAACCGAGCTGACGGCCAAGCGGGCAGACGGATATGGCAAAGCGGCGTTGGTAGGTCCGATCCGGACGGTGGAGCAGCAACGTGACACGTTGGGAGATACCGACGTCGCTGGGGCTCTCCGACGTCAAAATGTCGGACGGGGCGATTGTCAGGCTGCGGAGGCGCGTCACGCGTACCCACTTTAATCTGTGGCTGCGAGGAGCGCCCGCTCATCCCGAGCTCGTCGAGGGACGCGGCAATCTCGATAGGTTGCACACACGTCGGCGAACCGCCGTAGCTACGGCGACGGGATTGCCACGCTGCGCTCGCAATGACAAAGTGGCTGCGCATGAGGAAAACCCTGAAACCTGCGCTGCCATGACTGTTGAGTTCCTGGAGTCGCAGGGACTGGCGTGAGTTCGCCGCTCGGCCATCGTTGGTCGCTGGTATCCGCCTTCATCTGAACCTGCTATGATTCGGGCCAACAGAAAGTCTGATGTTACGCGTACCCACTCTAACCTGTTCTAATCTGTCATAGCGAGGAGCGCCCGCTCATCCCGAGCTCGTCGAGGGACGTGGCAATCTCGATGAGGTTGAACACACGTCGGCGAACCGCAGTTGCTACGGAGACGGGATTGCCGCGCTACGCTCGCAATGACAAAGTGGGTACACAATGACAAAGTAGATACGTATCAGAGAGTCTGATCACTGGCGCAGCGAGAAACATCGCCGCGCCAAGACTGATTGGGTGACGATTGAGCCGCAACTCCACTCTTGTAATACATACCCGTCTTCGGAGGCCCTATCATGGTGGATTACGCAAGCCTGTTCTCCCGCAACCTGCCCCGCTCCGTGGCGTCGCCGGTGGGCTCCAGCGCTCAGGTGAAGTACATATTCTCGGTGACCAATGCGGTGCCCGAGGTGATTGATGCTGACGAATACCTAACTGCCATCGCGGCTGGCATGGCCGGCGGCGGCGCGGCTTCGCTAGCCGGCTATCCACCCGCCGGCGGACACGTCGGCTTGCGGGAGCTGATCGCCCAGCGGTTGGCTTCCAACCGGGGCTTCAACGCCTCGCCGGACGATGTGTTTATCGCCGACGGCGCTGGGGGGTCCATCACCATCCTGCTGGATTCCTTCATCAATCCGGGCGACCCGGTGCTGGTGGAGGAGTTCACCTATATGGGCAGCCTGCGGATGATGATGGAACGGGGCGCCGAACCCATCCACGTGCCCTCCGACGAAGACGGGATGCTGCCCGATGCCGTCGATGACATCCTGAAATCCCTGGACGGCGCGGGCCGGCGGGCGAAGTTCATCTGGACGATTCCGGTGTTCCAAAATCCGCTGGGCTACACGGTGTCGGAGGCGCGGCGGAACGCGCTGCTGGACGTGGCCGAACGCTGGGGCGTACCCATCCTGGAGAACGAATCCTACGCCGATTTTCGCATCGACGGCGACCCGCTGCCACCGGCAATGTCCGGTATGCGGGACCAAGCCGACGTGATGTACGTGTCGTCTTTTACCAAGCTGCTGGGCTGCGGGCTGCGGGTGGGATTCGGGGTGCTGCCGCCGGCGGTGAAGGCTGCGCTCCCGCGGGCCAACGCCGAAAATCTGCCCCGTCGCAACGCCAGCCATCTGGCCACCATGCTGGTGTATGAGTATATGCGCGACCACGAGGCCGAGCACATCGAGGCGGTGCGGAAGGCGCTGCAGGTGCGCCGGGACGCCATGCTGGAAGCGCTGGCCGCAAACTTCCCCGCCTTCTGCGAGTGGACGGAACCCCAGGGCGGCATGATGATTTTCGTGCGGCTACCTGAAGGCGCGGACACCTGGGGCACTCTGGAAAAAGCTACGCAACGCGATGTGAAGTACAACCCGGGCGGAATGTTCCGATCGGACCGCGATCGCAACAACCACTTCCGGCTGACCTACAGCCACAATTCCCCCACCGAAATTCACGAGGGTATCGCGCGCCTGGCCGAGCTGTTCCGTGAGGAAGGGTACTTTGAGGGGTAGGAGCTTCACTCTCACGCCAACCCTCTCCCATTGAGGGAGAGGGGGTTCAAGAGGATGGCAGTTATGACCACGATCGCTGGACCCGCTGCTCCACCCGCCATCACCGTTAGCGTGGATGGTTTATCGGTGGCCGTACCCGCCAGAGCGTCCGCGCTGGACGCCATCAACGCATCCGGCGTGATCATCTCCCAGCTGTGCAAAGATGCTGATATGCCGGCCATCGGCGCGTGCCGTACCTGCCTGGTGCAGATTGACGGTGTGCGCGGCTTTCCGGCGTCGTGCTCGGTGCCGGCCACCGAGGGGATGGTGATTCACACCGACACGGCGGATGTACGGCGTATTCGCTCGGGAGTGATTCAGTTGACGCTGGGGATGGTGAACGGGGGACACCCTTCATCCCCGGCCCCTCTGCCGGTGGGAGAGGGGAGTACGCCATTGACACTGGTGCTGCCTCGGGGCGGTACGGAGTTTGTTGCGGGCGGCGATCACCCTCACCCTGACCCTCTCCCGTCAAGGGAGAGGGGAGATGTTGGCCTTGACCTGGTGCCTTTGGGGGAGAGGGGGGTTGACGGGTATGGGCAGCTGTCGGCGGCGGCGGAGTTGCATGGGATTGTTGAGCGGCGGTGGGAGGCGCGCGAGCGGCCGGCTACCGATACGTCCAACCCGGTGTTCAACCTGGCAATGGACGCCTGCATCCTGTGCGCCCGTTGCGTCAATGCCTGCCAGTCGGCGCACCAGTTCATCGGGGCCATCGATGTGCTGGGGGCTGGGGAAACGGCCCGCATTGCCACCGCCGGCGACAAACCGCTGGCCGAAAGCATCTGCACCACCTGTGGCCAGTGCCTGAGCGTGTGCCCCACCGGGGCCATCAGCGTCAAGGAACCGCCGGCCGTCAGCGCACCGACCCACACCGTCAGCACCACCTGCCCGTACTGCGGCGTTGGCTGCGGCATCCAGCTGGAAGTTGACGACGCCACCGACCGCATCGTGGCATCCCACGACGATCCCGACAACCTGTCCAGCGTGGGGATGCTGTGCGTCAAGGGCCGCTTCGGCTATACGTTTGCCCAGCACCCCGACCGCATCAAAACGCCGCTGATCCGCGACGGCGAGCGTTTCACCGGGCCGTTCCGAGAGGCGACCTGGGACGAGGCGCTGGACCTGGTAGCGAGCCGGCTGGTGGAATATCGCGGCGACAGGTTTGCAACTCTCTGCTCGGCCAAGGCCACCAACGAGGACGGGTACGTGCAGCAGAAGTTCTCCCGCCTGGTGATGGGCAGCAACAACATCGACCATTGCACCCGCCTGTGCCACAGCCCCTCGGTGGAGGCCATGCTGACCTCGCTGGGCAGCGGGGCCACCAGCAATTCATACACCGACTACGAGGGCGCCGGCTGTCTCGTGGTAATCGGCTGCGACCCCACCTCGAACCATCCGGTGGCCGCTTCCCGGATGCGGCGGGCCATCGTCGAGCGCGGCGCCAAACTCATCGTTATCAACCCCCGGCGCATCGACATGTGCGACTACGCCGACCTGTGGCTGCGGGCCTACCCCGGCACCGACGTGGCGCTGCTGAATGCGATGGCGCAGGTCATAGTGGACGAAGGTTTGGCCGCTGCCGATTTCGTGAACAACCGCACCGAAGGCTACGACGACTGGCTCGCGGTAGCCAATCAATACACCCCCGAACGCGCCGCGGCCATCACCGGCGTCGCGGCGGATGACATCCGCGCGGCCGCCCGAATCTTCGCCCGCCCGCCGGTGCCCCGGGGAGCCGATGATGATGGTGTCGGCTACGGCGGCTCCTGTCTGATCTGGGGCATGGGCATCACGCAGCACACCAACGGCACCGCCAACGCCCACGGCCTGCTGAATCTGGCGCTGGTCGCCGGCCAGCTGGGTCGGCGCGGTTCGGGCATCTCCCCGCTGCGTGGGCAGAACAACGTGCAAGGCTGCGGCGACGCGGGATGCTTGCCCAACTCCCTGCCGGGCTACCAGGGCTTGCGTCCCGATACGCTGGTGCGATTTGGCGACGCCTGGGGCGCGAATGGGCGCATCCCCGATACGGCTGGCCTGGTGGTTACCGATATGGTGGAATCAATGGGGCGGCCCGACGGCGTGCGCGCCATGTATATCACGGGCGAGAATCCGCTGCTCAGCGAACCCGACCTGAACCGGGCTGATGAGCTGTTCCGGCGGCTGGAGTTCCTGGTGGTGCAGGACATTTTCATGCACGAAACGGCGGAGTTGGCCGACGTGGTTCTGCCGGCCACCAGCTTTGCCGAGAAGGACGGCACGTTCACCAACAGCGAGCGGCGGGTGCAGCGGGTACGGCAGGCCATCCCGCCGGTGGGCGGCAGCCGGCCCGACTGGGACATCGTGTGCGACCTGGCCCGCCGGATGTGCGACAAAGTGGGGTTGCCGTGGGCTGAGCAATTCACCTACGGGCACCCGTCGGATATTTTTGACGAGATGGCCCAGCTGACGCCCATCCTGTCGGGCATCTCCTATCAGCGGCTGGACGCCGAGGGTGGCATTCAGTGGCCCTGCCCCTCGCCGGAGCATCCGGGCACCACGTATCTGTACGCCGACGATTTCCCCCGGGGGGACCGGGCGAAGTTTGTGGCCTTTGAGCAGGGACCGCTGGCGGCGGAAACTCCGTCGGAACGGTTCCCGCTGGTGCTAAACACCGGGCGAGTGTTGTATCACTGGCACGGCGGCACCATCACACGGAGGGTGGACGGCCTGATGGCCCGGTCTCCGGCGCTGGAGGTGTCGATAAACCCCCTGGATGGCGAGCGGTTCGGGTTGCAGGACGGGGGGCAGGTGCAGGTGCGTTCACGGCGTGGTTCATTAACGGGCGTGGCGCGCTACACCTACCGGATGCGTACCGGCGAGATTTTTGTACCGTTCGTAAGGCTGGCCGATTCAGCGGCCAACTTCCTCACCAACGCGGCCTACGACCCCGAATCACGCATACCGGAGTACAAGGTGTGCGCGGTGCGGGTGGAGACGGTGGAAGGGTAGCCGTCGATCCGTTTTCAGAAGGTCGTTAGAATCGGGGACATCCGCTCCCTGGGTTGGTAACCCAATCCGGCGCATCGTGATTTCGACGACTTCACCCTCACCCCAGCCCTCTCCCATCAAGGGAGAGGGAGCTGCCTCTAACTTCGCCCCTCACTCCAGCCCTCAATGAAATGTACGGCTCCATCCGGGCTTTGGTCCACCAATCCAGCGAATCCTGATTTGGACGACTTCACCCTCACCCCAACCCTCTCCCATCGAAGGAGAGGGAGCTGCCTTTACCCGCGCCGTTCCCGGCCCTCGATGAAGTGGACGGCTTCATCCGGGCTGATGCGTCCCACGGGGCCGCTGGCGTACATTGCGCCCAGCACGGTGCCGCCGCGTCCCAACAGGAACTCGGTTGGCTGGATGTGGCCGTCGTGGTTATCCGACCACCACGATCCGAGTAGCTCGGCGTCGGCGGGAGTAACTCCGTATGCCAATGGAAACTTGACGCCGGCCTTGGTTGCCATCTCCTGCACCAGTTCCCTGGGTTCCACACTGGCGGCGACGATCTCAACGCCCATCTCGCCGAGGGCGGCGCTATTCTCCTGCCATGCGGCCAACTGCCGCGCGCAGTAGGGTCACCAAACTCCGCGGTAAAACAGCAGCGCCAGGTAGCGTGAGGACATCGCATCCGGCAGAGCCAGCGTTCGGCCGTCGATCAGATTCAGCGTCAGATCTGGCAGCCGGTCGCCCTGTTGCAGTTTTTCGCTCATGATGGCTCCTGGTCAATACGGGTTCAGGTGATTGGTCGTTCCGGCCAGAACAAATCGTACAATCGATCAGAGAGTTCTTCGCAAAGCCGGAGTCCGGCCCTGACTTCGTCCGCACTTTCTTCATCCTCGTAGTAGTTGGAATGCAGGGCGCGAGCGGTTCGGAAGGCATTGTTAATCCAGGTTTGCGTATCGGGATCACCCGATACAGCGACCAGGTCCGACAGCTCGCGTAAGACCTGCCAGATGGAACGGTGTTGGTGGATGTTGCCACCATGGTGCGCGCTGATGGCTTTGACCGTCTCGGCGACCATACCCCATGCCTTGTTGGAAGCTTGGGGCAGATCTCTGTCTTCGAGGAGATGCTTCCAGGCTCCGGCGCGGAAATCGCTGCCAAGACGAGCGTATTTTTCCGGCCCACGATCAGCATCGTCGGGTTGGCTGGGGTCGCGCGCGGCGGTTAATCCACGGGCGATCGCGGCGGCGATGGTTTCGTCGGTGTACGCCATTCCAGTGGATCAGTCGCCGACGGCCTCCGCAGTCGGAGACTTCAGGCGCTCGGGCCACCACGGGTCGTCATAGTCATCGAACAGACCCTTGAGGTGAGGCATCACCTCGGTGGCGAACAGCTCGGTATTCTTCCTGGTCAACTCGGGCGGCATGGATCCAATCTGGAGCAGTACCATCAGGTGTCCGATACGGAGCAGTTCGGCAGCTTCGGTGAGCTTGCGGCGCACGGTTTCCGGACTGCCGGCGATGATGTGCCCCTGCTCGACATAATCCTTCCACTTGTTTTCCGTGGCGACGCGTCGGGCCTCTTCCCCCATCTGGGGGCGCAACGACTTGCGGATGGATTCCAGCGAGCGGTAGCCGGGCGATTCGGCGTAGGGCGGATACACCCGCAGCATTTTTTCGTAGAAATACTGCACGTGCTCCTCGTAATCCTGCTCGGCCTGCTCGTCGGTCTCGGATACGCACACCAACTGCAGGAACCCCAGGCGATGGGGATTGTCGTCGACGCCACGCTCGGCAGCGCGTTCCCAATAACCTTTCACGATGTTGTAGGCGCGCAGGTAGCCGTAGTAAGAGAGGTAGCAGTACACGTAATCGCGATCCAGAACCCAATCCCAGGTTTCCAGGCTGCCCGAGCCGGGAATCCAGACTGGTGGATGGGGTTGCTGCATGGGCCGCGGCCAAATGCTGATGTAGCGCAGCTTATTGTATTTGCCGTTGAAGATAGTGGGCTGGTGCTGCGTCCAGGCCTGCATGATCACGTCGTGGGCCTCGGTGTGGCGCTCCCGCAGGGTGATGGGCACCTGGCCGTAGGAGAAGGTGGTGTCCATGGACGTGCCGACCGGGAAGCCGGCCACCAGGCGTCCGCCGGACATTACGTCCAACATGGCCATTTCCTCGGCAACGCGCACAGGCGGGTTGTAGAGGGCCAGGCTGTTGCCAAGTACGATGAGGGCTCCGTTGTTGGTGGTGTTGGCGAGCACCGACGCAATCAGGTTGGGCGAAGGCATGATGCCGTAGGCGTTGTTATGGTGCTCGTTAACGCAGATGCCATCGAAACCCACCTCGTCGGCGTACCGGAGCTGGTCGATGTATTCGGCGTAATACTGATTGCCCTTGGCCGGATCGAAGTTCTCGTTGGGGAGGTCGACCCAGGCCGAGTGATGCTGCTCGGCAAAGTCCTCGGGCAGGTCCTGATAGGGCATCAGGTGGAAGAAGGATATTTTCATGTTGTGACGTACCTCGGCGACGAGTCGGCTGCCTTTCGTGAGTGCTGGATTCGTGGGTGCGGGAATTGTAACATAGGGCCAGCGGCCTACCCGGTGGGCGCCGGAGATGGAACGGGGAAGAGGTCGGCAACCGGTCGGGAGAAATCGGGCAGAACCGGCTCCGCGGTGATGGTGTCATCGGTGCGAAAGACGACGGTCCGGTCCGGACGATAGGCGGTGACCGTACGCGACTGCGGATAGACCACCCAGACGAGTTGCACGCCGACGGCTAAATATTCCTCGACCTTGGCGAACATATCTGCTGCCGAGTTGTTGGGGGATACGACCTCGACCGCCAAGGCAGGTACGAGGTCCAGGATTGCTTCGGCGCCCGTCGGCGAATCGCCGACAATCAGCGCCAAGTCGGGTCTGCGCGTCCGGTTACGCGCCGCTCCGACATGGAACGTGGGTTCCGCGAAGACTCGTCGCTGGGGTAATTCGTGAATCGCACGTTCGAGCGCTAACCAGATCAGGCGCACGATGTCTGCGTGTCCGTACATCTCAGGTGTCATGCCCTTTTCCTCCCCGTCCCACACGTGCTTCCTGACGATGCGGCCGTCGAGGAGTTCGCAGCCCTGAGTCATCTCCCGGGGCAGGGCATTGAATTCATCCAGCGTGTAGATTTTCTCGGCTGTGGTCATGGGCGGACTCCCGAGCAAGGCAATGGTCGGGGACGTAAACCTTTAGCTGGCCAGCCAACCCTTCACGGCTTCGATGAAATCGGCCGGGTTGTCCTCGAACACCATGTGGCCGGCGCGCTGGATTTGGGCCAGGGTGCCCTGCTTCAGCGTGGCAACCATCTGCTGGGCGGTTTCCTCGGCGAGCAGGTCGGTTTCCATGCCTCGTACCAGCAGCGTGGGGCAGGCGATTCGGTCCAGCGTGGGCCAAAGGTCAGCCGATGGAGCAGCCGTGCCGTTGACGCGCTGCTCGCGGATTTCAGGGTCAAACTTCCAGCCCAGCTTGCCGTTGGGCAACTGTTGCGTTTGGCCAGTGAGGCGGCGGCGCATGACAGGTTCCGAAGCGAAGCGGTTCCCGGTCTGCACGTGGGCCAGGGCCGCTTCGAAGGTGTCGAATTCAGGCGGCAGGTCGCGGAGTTCGCTGGTTATACGGTTGCCGCCGGCGGGCTCGATCCTGGGACCGATGTCCACGATGCAGAGGCGCTCCAGCCGCTCGGCGTGCTCGCCGGCAAAGGCCATGCTGTTGCGTCCGCCCATGGAGTGGCCAAACAGGATGAACTTGTCCAGGCCGATGGCATCCAGGAACCCGACCAGATCGGCTACGAAGGCATCGGTGGAGTAGTCGCCGCCGGGGGCGTGGTCGGTGTCGCCCCGACCGCGCTGGTCGAGGGCATATACGTGATAGTCACGGTACAGGGATTCTGCAACGTCATCCCAAACGTGGGCGTGGCCGCGCAGACCGTGCAGCATGACCAGCGGCGGCTTGCCTTCGGTGCCCCAGTCGAGGTAGTGCAGGTTGATACCGTTGGCGGTAACGTTCTTGCTCTTGGGCTGGACTTGCGTAGTCATGGCGATTGCTCCTCAGAAGCGGTGGTGCATTGGCCGGTTGGCCGTCGTGTGGGTGATCGGATAGATACTTACTTCAGCTGCCAGTTGGGGCGGCGCTTTTCGGCGAAGGCGCGTGGGCCTTCCTTGCTGTCTTCGGTGGTGAGGATGTAGTCGTAGGCCACATAGGTCTTGGCGCTGATTTCGGCGATGGACATATCGAGGCTGCTGTAGGCCAGGTCTTTGATGGTGCGGACGGCCAGCGGGGCGTTTTGGGCGATGCTCTCCGCCATCTTGACCGCTTCGGACAGCAGGTCGTCGGCCGGCACCACGCGATTGAGGAACCCCATTTCCTGGACTCGGGGCGCCGGCAGCAGCTCGGCGGTCATCACCAACTCCAGGACGTTGGCAATGCCAATCATCTTGGTGAGTTCCACGGCGAAGGGAGGCATCAGGCTCCACTTGGTTTCGGTGATGCCAAGGCGAGCGGTATCAGCAGCCAGTCGCACGTCGCACATTTGGGCAATCGCCCAGCCACCCGCAGCGGCGGCGCCATTGACTGCCGCCACCAGGGGCTTGTCGGGCCTGGTCCACATGTGGGGTCGGTCGGGCGCCATACTGTTTTCGGCACGGGCCTGCACCCCGGCGGAATTATCAGAGGCACGCTCTTTCAGGTCGCGGCCAGCGCAGAAGTTGCGGCCGCTGCCGGTAATAACGGCCACCCACGCCTCGTCGTCCTCGTGGTCGAAGTGGTTGATGACTTCCTGCAACTCCCGGCGCAACTGCCGGTTGATGGCGTAGAGGCTTCGGGCCGGTTCAGCGTGATGATGGCCACGTGGTTATCAACGCCGGTCTTTTCGTAAAGTATGGTTTCAGGCATTGCGGTGCGTTCTCCTTGCTGGATGCGGTCTTTTTGCTGGTTGACGGCGGTCGTTTTGATTGGGCAGTTGGATCAGGCGGCGGCGATCAGGCGTAGTGCCCCAGATACTGGCCGCCGATGACATGGACGTGTCCATGGGACTGGCTCTGCAATCCGTCATAGCCAAAGTTGGACAGGATACGGAAGCCGTCCGGGCAGTACATGCAGCCGAGCGTGGCTGCCACGTTGCCCAGCTTCGCCATAATCCCGTTGCTCCACATATCCAGCTGCGACATATGGTGGCGAGGCATTACCAGAAGCATTATGGGCACCCAGGTCAGCCGGTTGACGATGGCAATGAGGTCGTTATCCAGGTAGCGGATACGGGCCGGTTCGGTTCCAGCGACAATGTCGCAGAACACGCAGCCGGCGACGGAATGGCTGGCAGCAGGGTTTGGCTGGGTCATGTAGCAGTTCTCGGGGAGTGAATATCAGTCGGAAGGATGGCCGTTGGCGCGTTCGTCCAAGCGGCGGCGCAGGTCGGCAACCTCGGAGGCGAGTTCCTCCAGCCGCAGCAGGGTTGTCGCGAGGGTGTTTTCCGGCCGGGCGGCGCGTTCGCGTTCCCGGTCAGCTTTGCTCACGCTTCTGGGCGGCTTGTTCACGTTCCGAGTCGGCACATTCACGCTCCTGGGCGGCTTGTGTTCGCTCCCAGTTAGCGCGTTTGGTTTCTCCCGTGGTGAACCACACTAGAATTACTCCTGCCAGTGCGAATGCTGCTATACCGTTGAGCAGGTAGTTGGTGAACAAGTCTCGCGGTGCGGTTTGGGTGCCCCGGGGAGGCCACGGTGATACCAACTACCGCTCCGCTCAATCACAGCGGGAGGACACCCAAAAGTGCCGCGTCACGAGATGTCCAGCCGATTGCAGCGGCATTACCCGGCGTCCCGTTCTGATTCTCATTGTACTGCATCGGTTGGCTTGCGTGTTCTCCTCACCGCGCCGCAGGTAGCCGGCACGCTACTATACGAACGGCTGCGGCGGCGTGTCAAACACGCGGCTCGTCTCATGGGTACCCACTTTGTCTTTGCGAGCGTAACGCGGCAATCCCGTCGCCGCAGCACCGGCGGTTGGCCGACGTGCATTCAACCTCATCGAGATTGCCACGTCGCTGGCCTCCACCCCCCCCCCCCTCCCCCCCCCCACCCCTCCCCCTCCCACCCCCCCCCCCCCCCCCCCCTTCCCCCCCCCCCCCCCCCCCCCCCCCCCCCCCCGCAATGACAGACTACTGAAGCC